TATTACAAATAAAGGTAATCAGGTTAATATAAAGGCTTTATTTTTAGAGGTTATAGAATTTGTTACAAAAGAGTTTAAAGACCAATAACTTCCCAGAATTCATAACCATTAAACTTTAATTTATCTGCTAACAACTTAACATTGCCTATAAATAAAGTACTGTTGGTTACATTTCTAATTGGGAAATAACCATTTCTTTTAATCAAATTTAGGAAACTACACTATTTGGTGTGGGAAAATTAAATTCTCATCTTTTATCAAAAATGGTTGATTGTAGTCTACCCAATATACAAACAATATCTATGTCTAAATAATGTGCACTATGATTATTATTCTTAATTCGTTCTAATGACAGTTCTATTGGATATGTTTGAAAGGGGTCAAAATTCAAGTTATTAAAAGAAGTGAATTTAACGGAAAGTAAGAGCACGTGAGATATGTTTCGTTATTTATTTTTAAAAAGTTAGTTTCTTAAAAGTACAGATATAAATTTGAGGAAAAACTAGTTCCCATGACAATACCAATTACCTGTTTAAATACATGTTAGTTAAAAACAATACAGTTATACGTACAAAAATGAATTATATTTTTGCATTGATTTTCAGCGTACTTGTTTGTTTGTTCCTAATTAAGTACAAAGCTACACAATGGCCTATCTGTGCTCTGACCACCTCGGGTATCGAAACCCGGTTTCTAGCGTTGTAAGTCCGCAGACATACCGCTGTGCCACTGTTTTTATGTCTAAAAATTGATCTATCAAATTATTAGAGGCTGTAATAAAATCTTTAAAATCTATTTTAGTATAATAAGTAATAAAATCATATCTAAGAACAAAAATGGCTGATTTGAGAGAACTTAAATTACCGTATTTTTCGGAATATAAGACGCACCCTTATTTTGAAGACAAGGTTTTGGGGGGAAAAAAGCTACAGTCGCATTTGAAAGATTTTTATTGAACAAAAATTCAGTTTGATACTTTAAAAATTAGTATATATTGTTCTAAACACAAAAGAGCTCAAAATATTAAAATAAGAAAATACCGTAAATCAAAAAAAGGTTTACTGTTATTTAGTTTGGTTCAAACCTACAAAATCTTCATTGCTTTCACTGTAATTTATTTTTTTATTATTT